TCACAGATAATATATTTTTGTATGTTGAAAATACTGTGAAATTGAAAAAACTACAAGAATAAGTTGCTTCAATGGATTTCAAAGGACACAAGATCAGTATGTTAAAAATCAATTTGTGTTTATAAGCTAACAGCAAAAATCTGACACAAATATTTAAAACATAATTCCAGGGGCTGGGGATTTAGCTCAGCGGCATAAGTGCCTGCCTTGCAAGCAGGCAGTCGTGAGTTCGATCCCTGGTACCAGTAAAAACGAAAAAGACAAAAAAAATAAAACATAATTCCATTAATAACGTCAAAAAGGACAAAAATACGAGGCTGAGGCAGGAGGATAACCTCAAGTTCAAGGCCAACATAAGCTACAAAGTGATTTCGAGGCTAGCCAAAACTACACAGGAAACCATGTTTCAAAAAAAAGATAAGAAAGAAAGTTAAGGAGTGATCTCACGTTAACTATTCTTACAACAGTAAAGTATATTTTTTTAAAAAACATCAGTTAATTGAAAAACAAAATATCACTCTTGTAGAGAAACACTGAAGATCAATAAATGAAATTCTCATGTTCATATGTTAGAAGACAGTAAAATAGCAACTTTCTCCAAACTGATTTAAAGTCAAAGCAATCTCTATGAAAATTCCAGGAGACAGGGGCTGGAGGTTTAGCTTAGCGGCATAAGCACCTGCCTTGCAAGCAGGCAGTCGTGAGTTCGATCCCTGGTACCGATAAAAACGAAAAAGACCAAAAAAAAAAAAGAAAATTCCAGGAGACCAACAGGCTGATATTAAAAATTTTACATAGAGCCCAAAACAGTCAAAATAATTTTTGAAAATAACAATAAAGTCAGGAATATGGCTCAGTAGCACAGCACCTGCCTGGCAAGTGCAAGGTCCCGAGTTCAATTCTCAGTACCAAAAAAAAAATAAAAATATTTAAAAATTATACATGAACTGTTTTTCATAACTTACAGTAAAGCAGTGATCGGCAGTGGTACAGGTACAGACACAGATGTTATGCAACAGAATTAAGAGTGCAGAGATAAAAATCTTCACATTTACAATGGAGAAATGATCATCAATCTCCTCAAATGGTACTAGAATAATCCATTAGTAAAGAATGCAAATTAACTCAAAATAGACCTTTTTTTTTTTCTTTTTTGGTCTTTTTGAGGCAGGGTCTTGCTATGTAGTTTAGGCTGTCCTTGAGCTTACTTTGTAGCTCAGGCTGGCCCCAAACTTTGAATGATCCTCCAGCCTCAGTCAAGAGTGCTGGAATTACAGGCTTGCACCACCACACCAGGCTTCAAAACAGATTATAAAATCCAAATTTAAGAGCTAAATTTTAAAACTTCTAGAAAAGAGAAAATCCTCAAAACTTTGGATTAAGCAGAGTTTTTACACAAAACAACAATCATGATCTAGAAACTAGACTTTATCAAAACTGAATGCTTCAAAAGACCCCAATAGCCAGGCATGGTGGTGCACTCTTGTAATGCCAGCACTTGGGAGGCTGAGGGAGGTGGATCGTTGATAGCTGGAGACCAGGCTGGGCTACACAGTGAGCCCAAGGCCAGCCTCAACCAAATAGTCCTGTCTCAAAACAGACCAATAAATAAAATAAAATAAAAGACCCCAATACCCAATTTAAAAAATATTAGTCACAGATTGGCAGTAATTATTTGCAAATCATGCAAATGAAGAACTTATAACCAGAATACATATATTACAAACTCTTGCAAACAAATACTAAATCAAACCCAATTTAAAAATCGGCTGGGGGGAGGCACAAAAACCAATTGTGGGTACTGGCATACACCAGTAATCTCTGTATTTGGAAGGCTGAGGCAGGAGGATAGGGCAAATTCACGGCCAATTTGGGCTACATCGTGTTTCAAGGCTGCAGAAGTAGGTACTGAATGCCTCAAAAAGAGGCAAAAGATCTGAAAAGCTGTGTCACCCAACAGAAGGTATGAATACCTAAAAATCATGTGTTATGATGCATAAAATATCAGGCAGAAAGAAATTCGAATTAGAACTAAAAGTTAATCACTTCATAGCCACTAGAATGGCTATAATAAACAACATGTGTTGGCAAGGATAAGATGAAACTCTCTCATATATTACCATAAAGAATGGAAAATGAAAAAAAAATGTAGTGGTACACTACTCTGAGAAACAGTTCAAGCAGTTTTTAAATTTAAATACTCTTACCTAGTAGTACTAACCCCACATAAAATTTTATACAAATGTTCAAGAAGCATTATTCAAAGTATCAAAAAAATGGAAATATGGCAAGCACAGGCACATGCCTTAATCCCAGTTACTACTCCATGAGTTTAAGACCAGCTCAGAATAAAAGGGGTGGGGGGCAGAGAGACTAACAAGCAGCTCAGTAGTAGACTTGACTAGCATCCACTGGCCCGGAGTTTCTTCTCCTGTGGCGAGAGGGGGATCTGAGTATCTATCAACTCATCAAGACATAAAACATAGTATTATCCATAGAAAGGATTATTATTCAGCAATAAAAAGCTCAATCTCAAAAACTACATACAAAGTGAAAAAAGCCAGATGTAAAAAAACAAACCCATATACTATATGACTCCATTTATATGACTGTAGCAGAAGTAAACCTAGGGGGAATGAAACAAACCCATGATAGCCTCAGGCAGGGAGCTAGAGGAATAAGGATTAACTGCAAACAGGCTAGAGTGAATTTCTGAAAGCCAATAAAATGTTCTAAATCAAGCTTTCACAAGATACTTTCATAATTCTATTGTAGAAACTACAGAATCTCACAGAATTGTTTTGAACTAAACACAAGTCAAAAATTTATTTAAAGTGTATACTCCTGGGAGAAATGAAAGCATGTGTACACAAAAACCTATACCCAACTAATCACTGAACTATTCATAACAGCCAAAGAGTGGAAATGCAAATGTCTATCAACCAATAAGGAGAATGACATATATCCATAGAATGGAATATTGTTCAGCAATAAAGACATGAGGTACTGATACATACTACATGGATGAATTCTGAAAATATACTGTGAAAGAAGCCAGGCCCAAATGACCATATACTGTACAGTACCCATGGAGATGAAGGCAAATCTACAGAAATGAAAAGCAACTAGCTGTCTGAGTGCTGAGCAAAAATGACAGTGAATACTAATGAAGATGGGGCTCTTTAGCATTAATAAACACCATCCAAAACTGAGCATAGTGATGGTTGCACTACTATGTGGTTACACTACCAAAACTCACTAAACTCATTTTAAATCAAACTGGATGACATGTGAATGATTTTTCAATAAAGATACTTCACACACAAAGACATACAACTTTGGAGCACATAAAATGATCAACATTAACAAGGCCTAACACAACCACTTAGGATACTTAGGATAGAAAAATCTCAATATTTCAAACTCTATCTAGCATTGTGAGTACTTACGTTAGAAAAGAAGTATAATTAGTTAAGTTTAAAAATAACATTAAACTTTGAAATTTCTAACACACAAGATACTTGAATTTTCTGCTTCATGTGTCTACCAGAAAGAAAATTCAATTCGATTCACATAAATGCATTCTATAAACTGTATCACTTTGTATAAACTTTATTTCTAAATCCGTTTAGATAAAATTCAATGCTTTCCAGTTCATATAATGACTCTGCCTTTTTAAGAGACTCTAAAATACAGATATCCAATCCTGTCTTGGTAAAGTTGACATTCTTTGGTGATTCTAGAACTACAAAAAGTACATAATTTGCCTCTCGACCGAGACTCAGGCGAATCTGACTACCTGAAGACAGGATACGGTTCTCTTGTCACAGGATTAAAATTTAAACCATACAGGTGAAGTAAATGTTCAAAATATAAGCATAGAGAGAGGTTTTACACTTTTACAATGAGCAATCCCCCTCTAATTTCTCACTGATGAAGTACCAAGAACTTAAAAGGCTATTCTGCAACGAATAGGGCTCCTATAAAAGAACCCAGGAAGCCAGCACTCGAGAATATCAGAACCTACTACAATCCAAATCGCTCTTAATCTTACGAAATTCTTTCTCTGTCTCTTAGTCCCACAATAAAAACGCCCGTCTGCAAGAGGGGGTCTGGCCGCCCTGAGCGAAGGCTGCTCGGGCAGACTCCGCACTGTCCTTCTCGCGCGCCCCGGAGCCTTCAGTGGCGCGGTCCCCGCGGGCCAGCTCTGCGGGCGGCCCAGAAGGCGGCCACAGGACGTGCGTGCTCCGGAGTCCGTTTTCGTTTTGCTTAAGAAAGATTCCGATCAGTGCCCCATTTCCCTACTCCAAGGAACAGGGGGAGGCGGCAGGAGGGGACCAGCGAGAATAAAAGAACGGCTGAGTACAACCTGTCGTGCGAGCCAGCACGGAGAAAAGGGAAGGAAAGGTAAGCGGAGGCGGCGGCGAGGCCGACGGGGAAGGAAACTGTCCACCCCGCTTGCCGCCCAGAGCGGCAGGAGCCTCCCTGGTTCCGCCCCGGGCTCGCCGCCCAGCCCGGCGCCTGCCGCAGCCTCCCGCCCGACCCTGACCCTCCCAGGACGCGCTTCCTCCGCGCCGGACCCCGGCCCGACCGCCCGCGAGCTGCCGCGGGTCGGTTCGGTCCGCCGCCCGGCAAGGGTGACTCGCGCCGAGATGTAAACACGGGAGCGCAGCCGTGCGGCCCATCCCCCCCGCCGGGGTCCGAGCCGGCCGTCCCCGTGCCCCGTGCCCCGCGCCCCCCGCGGGCAGCCGCGCCGCGCGTCGCTCCCTTCCTCCACGTCTCGCTCCCAACCGTTGCTCAGGGGCGCTCAACCCCCCTGTCCCAGGCCCCGGCCAGTGTCACCGCCACAGCCTCCGGAAAACCCCTCCGCACCGCCAGGAGCAAACAACACAGACGCGGGGCGGGGGCGCGGAGGCGCGGCGACGAAGACCGGCCGTCCCGAGTGCGGCCGCCGCCTCCGCGCCCCTTTCGCAGCCACGGCGGCCCGCGCGCGCTCTTACCTGCTCCGCGTCGCCGGGAAGACCGCGGCGTCCCCTTCCCTCCCGGCAGGGCCGCAGACGAGCCGCCGTCGCCGCCACCGTTGGCCGAGCGTCCGGAGGGAGCCAGGGCCTCCCCGGCAGCCCGAGCCGCTCCACAGGGAGAGGAGAAAACAAAACAGAGGCGCGCCGCCCCGCGCAACACCACTCGCCCGCCCGCCCCACCGACCCCCAACCGCCGCGGCGACGGCGGCGACACAGAGCCCGGCGCGGGGAGCACTAGTGGCCGCCCCTGCCCCGCCTCGCGCCGCGCCAGCCCCTCCCTCCGCCCCCCCCCCCCGCTTCCCCCCACCGCCCGCTCGGCCCCGCCTCCAGCCTCCCGCCGCCGCCGGCGCCTGGACTCTGAGAACGCCCCGCCCGCCCCGCGCTCCTCCCTCCGTGCCGCGGGAGGGGGCGGCCGGCGCCCGCGGCGCCTGTCAAACACGGGCTGGCTATTTCCACCCCACGGGCCCCGCCGAACCCGCCGCGGGCGCCATGAATTCCCGCCCTCCCGGGATGCCCAACTTCTCCCGAGCCCGCCTCCTCAGGTGAAGACTCTGCTAACGAGTCCGGCCCCAGGCCCGGGAAGCCGCGCGAGGCTGTATCGCGCGGGGCGGGTGCGTGGAGCCGCGGGGCCGCGCCTGCACCTGCAGCGCCCGCCCGCTCTTCCCCCAGCTAGGACGGCACGCACACACCCTCGCTCTTCTCGGAGGCGCCCCACGGGCCCGCGCTGTCACGCCTGTCCCCAACTCCGGAGTCCCGCCCGCATCGGCCTGACGGGGGCAGGCGGCGACACAAACTCCAGCCGGGCGCCCCGCTCCTCCTCCCCACTCCCCACTCCCCACTCCCCACACTCTCCAATCTCCAGCCTCGCGGCGTGAAGGCGGGTGCGGGCGGGCGGGAGCTCGACGCCGGCCGGCCCCGCCCCACCCGGTGACGCACGTGGCGCCCCGCCCGCGCCGCGCGAGCCCGCGGGCCCCGCCCCGTCCCCAGAAACTCCGCCCGCTCAACGGCCGGGCCGCGGCGGTTGGTGCCCGCGCTGGCCAGATCCCGGCCGCCTGGGTCGCATTTCACAGTGACCACGAGTGAGACCGCGGCCGAGGAGGTAGGGCGCAGGTCCAAGTGTTTGAGAAAGAAGGTGAGGAAGTGAAGGGCTCGCGGGCCGGGGGACTGTGGGCGGGTCCCCGCGAGGGCGCTCTCCAGAAGCGAAGGTGGCCGCCCGAGGCGCTCTCCCGGCCGGACCGAGTCGGCCCGCCGGCCCCGGCTGGAAAGTTTGAGCGGGAGCGGGCCTGGGGTGGCTCGGGGAAAGGAGCGCGCGGGACCCCGCGATTGCAACTTTTTAAGAATTACCAGCGCGGGCAGAACAAAGAGCTGCTTCAGCGAGGTGCGAGTAGAGGCTTGGCTGCGCTGGTTATGTGTCACCGTGTGGTTATCGCGTCCCAGGCAGGAGCCGTGATTAGTGGACCATGAGAGTCGTGACTGTCATGTCCCCGTCCCGGGCCTGGCGTCCTGCAGCCCGAGGCGCACCTTCGTGTCTCGTCCTTACCCGGGGCGCCTGCCCGCTGCCACCGGCAGACAGGCGGTGGCACGGCCTGCGCAGCTGCCCTAACCCTTAAAAGCGGTGCTCGAGGAACAGCTCAAGTCCCAGCTTTGTTGTTGCAAGGAGTATTTGGGTGAAAGGGCCTGCAAAGCAGGAAAAGGAACACCAGCTGCGGCTGCATGCTTCTGCTTCCCACACTTTCACACAAAGAGTGGTCTCCGAGCCGGGCACCGTGACGAGCCTTTCAGTGCACAAAAGCCAACGACTCGGTGTTCCGGGTGTCATCCGTGCTGGCTTGTGCACACAGACACATCCGTGTCTGCTGCCGCGTTCCATCGGCGTTTACTTCTGTAACAAAGAACCCTCCAGTCACAGGGCACAGAGCCACTCGGCTGCCCAGGGCTCTGCCCCGCCGTGTCGCAGCCAGAGACCCTCACTGGGCACAACACACACCAGGGCCTCTCTGTTTCTTGCTTGATGACTTTCGAAGGATAGGGAAACCCTGAGCAATATAAGTGATAACTGTTCTTGAGAGGAAGTGAGAGCCCTGAAAATAACCCTAAAGCAAGGCTCAAATGTAGAAAAAAGTACAGGAGGCCCCATTGTCATGAACTCTGCAAAAACTAAGAATTTCAAAACCTCATTTTTAAAGCTATTTACACTATTTTGGATCTTGTTTCTAGTGAAGTAACTCTGTGGAGCTTCTCGTTATTAAAGAAATTTTCACTTCAATGCAGAATAGCATGATAATGAGAGATTTCAACTACAAAATTGTGTGAATTCCTCGGTTCTAAATCAGGTCAACTATTGGCACCAGTTTGAGCTGAAGAATGTGTAAATTCTTGATAACATTTATTCCTTTTATACACAATAAACAGCCCAGTGTGGTGGCACACACCTGTAACCAAGCATTTGGGAGACTTAAGGCAGGCGGATCACAACCAGTTTGAGGCCATCCTGAGGTACATAGAGTTCAAGGGCAGCCAAGACTGCATATTAGCAAGACCCAGTCTCAAACTAAAAATAGGGCTGGGGATTTAGCTCAGCAGGCAAAAGAGCCTGCCTTGCAAGCCCACAGTTGTGAGTTCGATCCCAGGTAATAAAACACAATAACCAGGGTACTGCAGACAGCATCTTTTCTAGAGCACTATTTTTTATCCCTGTTTTCTTGCAAAATAACCTATCACTTAGGGGAACCATTGCCCACTTTGATTTGTAATTAATAGTCATTAATGAATAATCAATACTACTGCCTCTCCATAATGTAGCATTACATATTAAGGAGCATGCAAGGACAAAGTTTGATGCCCATAGATACCCACTGGTCTTACCTGCTGGGTCATATTCCTGCTAGCTGAGAACTGTATCTCTCAGTGCCAGATGGAAAGTCCCAGGGGAATAACAGTGGTAAATAACATTATTGTTCCCAGTGTTTCACTGTTCCCTGCATGTACACTTTGAAATGTGGACTTGTAGTTCCTCTCATTAGAAACAATGTTTCTCCACCCTGTGGATGTTTTGTTTAGATCATCCCATCTGTTTTCAGTCAAAAGAATGTGGGCACAAGTGACAATGTGATGATTCTGAGCTTGGTCTCCAGAGATACTGCATGTTAATGCCTGCCTCCCTAGCAGGCCTATCTTTCACAATGTTAAGAACAGGACTGTGTAGCCCACATCCAAGAAGGATGAGACATAAGCATATGGAACAGGTCTTCCTCAACTTGGAGCTAGTGAACTGGTTTAAAATGCCTCTGTTTGGGGGTGGTAAGCTTCCTAGAATTAGTGTTTCATTACTGATAGCAAATAAACTGCTCCCTTGTGGTTGGCCTTAAAGCTCTCCATGAGCTCTACAGAGATGTCTGTCAGACAGCTCTGTCACACTGGATCTTAGACACAGTCCCTATGGTAGCAGATCAAGAAAGCTAGCCAGAAAGTTTGTAACAACGCATTCTAAACATTTCAGGGTCAATAGGTGTGGCCATAAATCCCAAAAGCAAGCTAATGATATATGACTAAATGTTGTGCCAGATTACTTTTGCCTTTATTTTTTATATCACATAATTTGTTTCCTAATCATTCAATTAAGTCATTAGTACATTCAAGTGTGAATGGGATTGCCTCGTGTGTGTTAAGTAAAATGCTTTTACACTTATTTTCTCCATTTCCTCTTTGTTCTTTCTAATTATATAGGAAAGACTTTAAAATTTTAGCCTGTCTTCACAATAACAAGCTAACTAAACGGAGAGGTTTTCCTGCTTCCTATCAGAATGTTAAATGGGTGGAGGACCCTCCTGGGCCCGATATATGGGTGGATGGCAGCGACAATCAAAGGAATACAGGAGAAAGTTCAGGTTTCAGATTGGTGGCCAGTAAATCCATTCCTCTCCCAACCTGGAAGTTTGCTTTTTTATGGGCTTTGGAGGCTGTGGTTGTATTTGATTAAATGAGGGCGTATTCCCCTGTAACATTTAAAGCGAGTAGTCCAAGAGAACAAGGTGCAAACTGCACGCCTTCTAGCCTCAGACTCACACCAGGGTATCTGCAAGTCACACAGATCAGCCCTGAGTCAGTGGGGGTGGCTGCTGCTCTGACTCAAGGCCATTAATTAATACCAGGAGAGGGGGATAGCTGGCAAGCTGGCAGTCACGAGGCCATTCGTACAGCAGTGAATCTTCAGTGACTTACTAAATTCATGGAGTCCCTCACTGCAGGTTGCTGATGTCTGTAGACTAGGAGAACAGCCAAAGAAGCCTTCTTTGGCCTTTGCTTAAAAAACAAATAGTTCTAGGCAATGCTCCAATTGTATTCTGGTGCTGACCCACCTTGTTAGCAGACCCCTGTACATCCACCTTGCCCTTCACTCTTTCTGGACTCCACAAAGAAAACTATTCTAGCTTACCTCATGCTGTGTCTTCAAAAGAACCCAGTTCCCAAATTCACATTTTCTTGCCCTTTGTAAATGACAGTCATGTGTGGTATACAGTATGAGTTATACCAGACCTGCCCTAGAGAATCACCAAAACCAAATTAATTAGGAGGGTAGATACTGTTTCCAGAGTCCAATGAAACACTTTCTGAGAATGAAATTTCTTCCACCAAATGTAGTCATGTAAAATAAACATATAACGTATAGTTTTCAGCCAGGCATGGTGGAGCAAACCTATAATCCCAGCACTCAGGAGGCTGAGGCAGGAAGATTGACATGAGTTCAAGTTGCAAGCAGATTTTATTTTGTTATAAAATTAAAGGTCAGGACCAGGGATGTAATTCAATCATACAGCACCTGCCTGACAAGTGCAAGACCCTGGATTCAATTCCTAGTACCAAAAAAATTATTTATTTTAATTTAACTTATTTCAAAATATATGAAAATATTTTAGATCACATTACTCTTTAAAGTTTCTTGATAAATTCAGGATAAATTCCATATAAACAAAACCAAAAAGTCATTACCTTCTGTGGGAAAATACTTAACTTGCATGCTTGTTAGCTGGACAGTTTTTTGGTTTTGGTTTTGTTTTTTTGTCTTTTTGAGACAAGGTCTTGCTGTGCAGTTCAGGCTGGCCTTGAGCTCACTTTGTAACCAGGCTGGTCTCAAACTCACAAGGATCCTCCTGCCTCAGCCTCCCGAGTGCTGGGATTACAGGCATGAGCCACGCAACTCTAGCTAGACAGTTTTTAAGAGCATCCAACCCTGCTGCAGGCTGCTAAGTTAAATTTACTCCCCAAATCAGTCTAAAGATGAGAAAAGCAAACCAATGCCTAGTTCCCAGAAATTTATAGCTACATACAGTATTTTGTGTTACTTTGATAATACCAATAATACTGGTCAGTGCTAAGTGTTTTCTGCTTACTCATGAACTCAATATGATCTGCATTTTTACACTTGAATGCTAAAGCTAAGGAGATGAAGTCACTTATTCACAGTCAGACAGACAGTAAGCAGCAGATTAGCTATTGAACCTTCTCTGGAGCTTTTTGGTTCGTTTGGTCTTTTGAGACAGGGTCTCACTATGAAGCCCACACTGGCCTTGAACTTGTAGCTGTCCTCCCACCTCACCCTCATGAGTGTTGGACTTAGAAGCATATACCACCTTGCCCAGTTTTGAGGCCTGTTCTCAACCATCAAAAATGAAAAAATCATGTTCTGTGCCTCAGTCTTGATACCAGCTGTATGTTGCATTCTCTACTTCATAGAACACTGGTGTCACCTTGCAGTTGAGCTCACCCTGCCAGGACTGCCTGTTCTGCCCAGGTGCTCCCCAGGAAGCCCCAGCATTTCTGGCCACCTGCTCACCCGACACTCCCTGCAGCGCTAGGTGCCAAAAAATTCCTTGTGGAAAACCCATGGCCTCTGTGCCGCACCCCTTCCTGTGTACTGAAGTGTGGAGCACAGACTGCACGTCCACTTGGGACACTGATGCACATTGGGAGAGGTCAGGCCCAGGAACTGGCAGGATGGAGCCTTAAGGGGCTCACAGAAGCCGCATGATGACAGTGTGAAAACTCAGAAGATCATGGACTAATGGGAAGAGAAGGTGAGGGGTTTCAGTGTTTGGTTTTTTTGGCTTTTTTGCAGTTCTGAGACTGAGCCTGAAGCCTTTCATGTGCTTGGCAAGTGTTCCACTAAGAGCTACACCCCAGGCCCTGGGGACACTCACAATGCTGTAAAAAGGGGGAAGTAGTTCTATGGTCAAAACCTAATACTCAGGAGTCTACCAATAGGGATAATAATGTCTACTCTGATCAGAATTCAAGTGCCAAGAAAATGCTATGAAATTTAATATCATCTCAGTAAGTGTGCTGTCTTTTAATGCTTACAGCAAAAATCCAATCAAAAAGAGACTGTAGTCATTTTGCCAGTTAGGAGCAAGGAGATGTCAAATTTGAGACCAGGCTCCATAGCAATAACCTAAGACAGAGGCAGAGAATACCCATTAATAGTTTGCTAGTGACTGTTCAGTAAATAGGGGTATATTTTAAGTTTTATATTTGTCTTTCTAGAGCAATATTTATTAATGTCAAATCAGCAGTTTATTTGCATCTTTGCCAATATGTTCTTATAATATGTATCTTTCTGTCAGTCATGTCATGAAATAATGCAGAGTTTATTCATTACTTTCACAATTTATCTTTTTCTTTTGTAGGCTACTTTTTGGTTTGTTGGGGTTTTTTTAGTATCAGAACTTGAACTCAGGACCTTGTCCTTGCCAGGCAGGTGCTGTGCCACTAAGCTATATCCCCAGCCCCTAACCTTTTTTCAATAATTACTTCTTTTATGATCTGAAATTACAATCTCAAATTACTTTTTTTTTTCCTTTTGAGACAGGGTCTCACTATTAGTTCAGGCTGGCCTTGAACTCACTGTGTAGCCCTGGCTGGCATTAAACTCAGCAATCCTCCTGCCTCAGCCTCCCCAACTGCTAGGCTTATAGGCATGTGCTACCATACCTGGTTTGTCAACAAAGAAATTCTAAAATGGAAAAAGAACTTAATCATCCTATCCACACAAACAAGGAGACTTTGTTTTCTTGAAATACCCCAAAATATCTTATAGTTAAGATACATATTCATACTTTATCAAATTTTTGAATATTTTATTTTTATTTTATTTTACGCATCTTTGTGAGAACAGGGTCTTGCTACGCAGTTCTGGCTGGTCTTGAGCTCAATGACTCTCCTTGCCTCAGCCTCCCAAGTGCTGGGACTATGGCTAGCACCACCATTCCACTCCACCGTTTTACATTTTAAACAACTGCTGTGTATGAGTGTCTCTTTTGAATTGTCAAACTGTATACATATTTTAGAATCCTCGTTTTGTCATTGTACCCACTATAAAATGTTTGAATTAGTTACAAAACACGTTGCTCCATGTCGGGTTCTAAAAATGGTTCATCTAACGACATTGGGTTCAGTAATGACCTGCAAAGGAAACAGGACTGTTGTAAAACCCTGATTCGTCGGTTAGGAAGCAGCTATGCTCCCACCAACTCCTGAGAAGGGCAGAAATGGGGGGCAGCAGCCAGCCAAGGGATCCCAGGAGGAGAGGCATCAGAACCTACAGTCCTGAGTGTCTCACTTTACATATTTTACATAAGAATTCAGGCCTGCGGGACCATCCCAGGTTCCCTAAAGCATCTGATTGGATAGGAGGCTCCGAAGTTCAGGTCTGTTACTCCAAGGCCAGTCTGCTCCTTCGGCTCACTGAATTATCCGGCTTTTCTTATAATACACTGCATTCTCTTTTGCTTAGTTTACATCAAATTGGTTTCTCCCTACTCCCCACCCCTTTTAATTTATTTTTCTTTCAAAAACAGAGTGCCTCTTTCACACCTGCACCGTTAGGTTTTTTTGGTTTGTTTGGGATTTTATGAGGAGTTTTTCAGGGAGGGGCGTTTTTTGTACATTGTTGGCTGTTCTCAGTCTGGACTGGTTTTGTCACACCGCCGTCCTCTCTCCGAAGCACAGGTCTGGTGATTCACTCCCCGGAACTCCGGGATCCCCGCGCCGTCTCCCGCTCTCTCACTCCCTCCAAAAGCCACCTCCTTCAGAAGTCTTTCGGATTTCCCAACACCTCCCAAACCCCGAATTAAATGTGATTTTTGCCGTCCTTTGACTCACCGCAGCTTATGATTTTTTACTTTTGCCTTAGTTATAATTATTATGTACAGCAGCCTGATTTCTCACTCGGTGTAGACGCCAAAGTCAGCAAGCAACGGGGTGGGGCGGGGAGTTCAAACAATTCCTGGAAATTTCTTCAGAAGAGGCCGGTTTGGAGGTCACCTGTACTCTGCAGACAAGAGGGCGCGTTAAAATCACCCGGCTTGTTAGCGCCAAAGGGCTGGGCGCCACCCACCCAAGACCCTGCAAACCCGGTGGACCTGGAGAGGACCTGCCCTGCGCCCTCCTCCGGCATCGATCCTCGCACAGCGGTGAACTCACAGATCCTGAAAGCGTCTGTCATAGAATTTGAGAAAGTAGAGTTAAGAGTGGTTAAAATGCAGACACCAACAGTAAACTAAATGTTCAATTCCTGGCTGCACCATTCACTAGATACATAACTTTGGCCAGTTTATTTAATCGTTTTATTTTTTCCCTCTATCTTCACTTAAGTTTAATATTATGTAATTGCTTTGTTACAAGAATAAAATTAGTTGATCTGTAAAATAACTACTTACCCTTTAACTTTCTAATGAAAATTAAATTTATGCATATGGCCCTTAAAGCATATATATAGGTGATCAGGAAATATTAGCTGTTATTGTGACTTGTCTCATCTGTATCTGTAAAAATAATAAAGCCCCTCTTTGTACACTTGTGAAAAACCTGGAAAGCACTTGGAACTAAACCTAGTTCTGCAGTTAGTGCTCAGTAAATGAAGATGGTATTTCTTCCTCAAATAGTATGGTTCATAGGAGTCACTCAAATGTATTACAGACTTAGGTGTTCTCCCCCACAGTATGGTTTTCTCAGGAATCCTCCTGCCTCAGCCTCCTAAATGCTAGGATTACAGGTGTGCAGCACCACACTTAGCTGAGGATTAGATTTCCAATATATGAATCTTGAGAGACATATTCTAACCATTGCCACATGTTAACTTGACCTTTTTTGGGGGGGGCGTCTTTTGAAAAATTTTTATTGTATGCAAGATATTAGGCAAACAAATAGGAAAAGTTTCTCTAGGAAGAGTAGGATACCTTTCTCTCCATGGAAGACAGTGTTTAGCTACAAAGTTCTCACTGAATATACAGCTCAAGCTGGCCTTGAACTCACTATGTAGCTTTTAAAAATTTTATTTCTTTCTTTCTTTTTAGACAGCATCTCATTAAGCAGTTTGGGCTGGCTTTGAAGTCACTTTGTAGCCCAGGCTTGCCTCTAACTCTCAATGATCCTCCTGCCGCAGCCTCTCCAGTGCTGGGATGGCACATATGTGCTACCACGCCCAGCAGTTTTTTATGAAGTAACAAATATAAAAAGGCTTTGGTAAGTGTAAAATATTGCCAAAAAAAAAAACCTTCAAATGACCAATATCTAAAAATATCTTTAAGAGCGAAGCGTGGTGGTTTACGCCTGTAATCCCAGCACTCAGGAGGCTGAGGCAGGAGGATCATTGTGAGTTCAAGGCCAGCCTGAACTGCATAGTGAGACCCTGTCTCAAAAAGACAAAAAAATTTTTTAAAATATATAAATAAATAAATGTATCTTTAAAAAAAAAAGCCAGGCACAGTGGGGGTGCCTGTAGACCCAGCTACCCCAAAGGCTGAGGCAGGAGGATCACTAAACCCAGGATTTTGGGATCAACCTAGGAAATGTAGTGAGACTATATCTCGGAGAAAGATAATAAGAGGAGATTAGCATCAAAAGTATGCGGATAAGTAGTATAATAAATTGGTTCTAGATTGACTCAACAGTGTGATCCATGAATAAGCATATTTAGTATTTTTCTCAATTCATAACTCTTGGTTCACTTGATTTATAAAAGTCATCTTCACAGAACATCATGAGAGTCAAAACATACATAACTCAAAAATAGTAAAGTTTTATGAAAGTTCACTTCTGACTCAGAAGATACAAGTTTTTCAAAATTACTTTCATAACAAAACTTTCATTTGCAACTTGTACACCCAAAGAGTACAAATATATAGTCTGAACTGAAACTCAGACTGATAACTGTTCAATATATTATTGTAAAAATTAAAGTAAAATTAGACATCAGTGGAGGTGTATCTTAGATACTTGCTTTTTGGGACTGGGAATTGAACAGGTAGCCATCTCACTGAGCAACAACCCCAGTTCTTTTTCTCACTTCTTTTCTGAGAATTTAATCTCACTAAATTACTAAATTGCTCAAACTGGGCTCAAACCTGCCATCCTCCTGCCTCTGCTTGCCAGGGTGCCGGGATCACAGGCACATGTAACCAGGCCCTTCAGCACATAATTAAATTTGCCAACTTGATTGAGTACACGTTTTTCTATCACCAAAAATATATGCTCTGGACCTGTGCTATCATTAGTCACTATACACATAGGGCTTTCAAGAAATATCTTGTGCAGGGCTGGGGTCGGCGGCACACACCTGTAATCCCAGCACTTGAGAGGCAGGGGCAGGAGAATCATTGAGAGTTCAAGAGCAGCTTGGGCTACAAAGTGAGCTCAAGGTCAGCCTGAACTGCGCAGTGAGATTGTCAAAAGACAAGAAAAATAGCTTGTCCAAATTGAGATGTGTCATAGGGTAAAACAGTCCACATTTGAAAAATACAAAAAATTGATAGTACCAAAAAAAAATGTAAAATAGCTCCTCTTAGTGATCCATAACTATAGAAAAAAATCTGAAATAATTATCATCTAAAGCAAAAGGTTGTTTTGACTCAGTTCTGGAGGGTGCAGTCCCTGAAGGCAGGAGCACATAACAGGGGCAAAGAGGAAGGGGCAGAGCTGAGGTCTTTTGAGGCACTACCCCTACCAACAGCACCACCTATGAGCAAACCTGCAGCACAGGGCCTTGCTGGATAGGCCAGGTCCAAACTACCACAGTTGTTCATTTTATGTTCATGACACACTCACAATGATGTTTTGGGTAAACGAGTAAAATAGGATATATTAATAACATTACTTTCACCTTTTTCTCTTTTTCCCTTTTAAAAAGTGACTATTCAAACACTGTAAACTGCACATAGGGTGACATTGTATTTCTGCTGGGCTGGGCTGCTCTGCACAGCAGCCAAGGACATGGCACTGGTCCAGCTCCTCTAACCTTCGGACAGTGTGGGTGGCTTTTCCAGAGCTACTCTTAAACCTAAAATTCAGGAGATTCTCTCTGGAAGGCAGAAGCAAGAGTATCAGAACTCTGAGCTTGGCCTAGGCAGGATAGTGACTTAATGAAAGTCTTTCTCCAAATAAGAAATAAAAAGGATTGGGGATGCAGCTCAGTGCAGATGCCCTGGGACTATACCCCAGCACAGGAAGAACAATCAAGGAATTACCTTATTAATTTATTTTGCAATGAGATGTTGAGATCTATCACAGCATGATCATTTATATTGTTTTACTTGCAGACTTAACCAGAAAAACAAACCTTTTGAAATTTCTCCCAAACCTCAAATATTTGAAAACTAATTGTCCAATATGCAGAAGAAAAAGTAAGCTAGCTAGCTTGCTTGCTTGCTTTCATTCCTTTTGAAACAAGGTTTCTCTGTGTAGTTCAAACTGGCCTTTAATTCACTGTGCAGCCCAGACTGGCCTCAAACTCACAGCAATCCTCCTGCCTCAGTTTCCAGAGCACTGAGATGATAGATGGGCACCACTGTACCCACCTAAATTATATTTTTTTCCTTCTACAGTAGAATCTTACAGCATTTACTAAGATATTTTCATGCTTAAATAAATGGAAGGAAGTTTCAGTAAAGAAATGATCATGTCATAGGCTAGAAAGTAAAGATGTAGGAAGGATTGTTTTGGGGATTTTCTGTGGTTCTTTTTAAATCAGATTTTATTGGTACATTTCAGCTGTATGTAATGATCACATTCATCGTAGAGAATTTCCAGCACTGGGGAGGCTGAGGCAGGAGAATTGTTGAGAGTTCGAGACCAGCCTGGGCTACAAAATGAGCCCAAGGCCAGCCTGAACTGCATAGAAAGACCCTGTCTTAAAAAGAAAAAATAATAAGTAAATAACAAAGAAAATAAAAACATCATAGAGAATTTTTACTTGCAGCTGATTCTTTCCCTCGCCTCCCCATTTACAAAAGCTGTGTCTCCATTTTGTCCAGGAAGGATTGGCTGGGCTGTGGGTTTCCTTTGCTCACACTCAGCGCGGCCATCTGCGTCTTTCAGTCTTCTCAGGTCGACCTTCTCAGAGCCTTGCTCACAGACTCGCACCCTGGATGCTTCACACTGCATCACAGTGGCTTTCTAGCATGAAGAAGCAATCACATAAATATTCAGTGCCTCCCTGACCCGCAGTTTTGCTTTTAAAATTGAAAATGGGTTTGATTATGAAGCATTGATCATTAAGTAACTGTCCATCTCTCCTTCTTCAGTTTTCTCCTTTTCCCTCCCTCTGGTCTTAGTCCTCTCTGTAGATGGTTTCTTCCCCTCTTGAGATAAATATGTACTTAATTTAAATATAATTATTTATTAGTTTCTACAGGTATGTGCTACTAACTTCATCTTACACTGTTGTGTTAGTATGTACACACATAAATTTCTTTCTTTCCTTTTTTTTTTTTTTTTTTTTTTTTTTTTGAGACAGGATCTTACAGTGTAGTCCAGGCTGGCCTCAAACTCATGGTGACCCTCCTGCCTCAGCCTCCCACATGCTGGGATTATGGATATGGGCCACCATGTCTGGCTAGTTTAAAATAAACTTCTTATGCATAGCTTTAAAATCAAAACAACTATAGAAACAGCAATTCAAATTAATATAATGTGACATTAATCTGAACAGATTTTTTTTTTTTTTTGTCTTTTTCATTTTTATCGGTACTGGGGATCGAACTCACGACTGCCTGCTTGCAAGGCAGGTGCTTATGCCGCTGAGCTAACTCCCCAGCCCCACAGATTTTTTTTTTGATATTAAATCACCACTTGCAGTATCAAAAAGATACTGAC